GACTAACGCCTTAGCTACACTTACACTAACATAACATAACGAAACGACCAACGACACGAAAAAATGCGCTCAGTGTTGAAGAATATAAACGACACGATGATAATAATGTCGTTGTCCTGTCGTTATCGTGTCTAGTGTAAATGTAGCTTCATGCTGCGCCACACTCTTCTACGTGCACTGCTGCAGTAGTAGTACAGTAGTAGTAGTGAGTAGTGGTAGTGAGTAGTGGTAGTAATAGTACAATAGTAGATAGCAGCAGCAGTAATAGTAGCATAGCAGGGGCGGATCCAGAGTTGTCCGAAAGTGGGCCGGATGAGACAACACTACCCAGGGGGTGTCCGAAAATAACCTCTAAGGCGTTTTGGGCGACCAATTATATTTTCTTCCTTTTATCTTTTTTTTTTTTTAACTTTCCAAAAGAGAGGCCGCGATCGGCCCGGCCCCTCTAAATCAGCCCCTGAGTAGCAGTAGCAGCAGCAGAGTGGCAGTAGCAATTCGGTGGTAGTATTAGTAGTAGTAAGAGTAGTAATAAGAAATTCTAAGTTTTCTATTATTATGTTTGATTATTATATTATTATTATTATTACCATTACCATTATATTATTATATTAGGCCTAAAATTATATATATACATACATATATATATAATATGTGTATATATATATATATGTTTTATATATATATATATATGTATTATATATATATTATTGTATATAAATACAATAATAATATTATATAAAATATAATATATGTATTTATATCTGTATATATCATATCATATCATTATTTTTTTTTTAATTAAAAATCACTTTTTTAATAAATACATGGAAAATACAATAATTGATAAAAGGAAAACATTTAGAATATTCCACAGGATAACATTCCTATGAGTAGTAAGTAAAGTAAATTAAGTAAATGATAAGGGAGGAGACAGAGTCCAAACAGATCACAAAGGAAACAAGACAGAAGAGGAAAAGAACAAGGAGACAAAACATTACAGATAAAAAGAGAAGACAAGCATATCAAATTATTGTCAATGCCGTATCCAGCTATTGGAACAGTTGGGACAGTCCCACACAATATTACAGACAAGAAGAGAAGACAAGTATATAACGTTATAGCCTAGTACCGGTACTGTATAAAGTGAATTATTATTAAGAATATAAAAATTATTAATTGCGATTATTAGTTATTGGATATTAAATGGAAAAATATAGATTTCATTCTTTAAGAAATATTGCACTTACAAAAGAGGAGGCTCAGCCCAGACGTACGTGTGTTCATTTTTGGCAGGGAAAATGGACACAGATGAATCGCAAGTTTAGAAAGGTTGTCTCGAAATACTTTGAAACGTATAGGCTTATTGCACAGGAATATAGAAATGTTCATTAATATTTGAAATCTTCATCAGAGTATGGCTTATTGATCAATATGGCTTATTGATCACATTAAAATTATATTATTGTTTGATGGATGAAACGGACGAAGCTTTAATTTTATCTTAGCTTGTGAGTGCAACTTAGCTCAGAAGGCTAAACTGGTGGTAGCCACTGTGTGTGCGCTGTGACCGTGGAGATATCTTGGTCCCCGGTTCAATTCCCTTCGTCTATGTGCATTATGGCCCATGTGCACGATGAACAAACGCAGTACACTCTTCGGAAAAGAGTAGGGTTTGTCTCCGGTGTACTGCCAAATCACAACCCCCAGCACCACACTGGAAATAAGTCTTCTTCAGTCTTTCGTGGTTTATCCAAATAATTCCATTTATCCATCCAACTTATTTTCAAAAATATTTGAAATCTTCATCTGAGTATGGCTTGTCGATCGATTAATAATATATACCAAGGTAAAGAAAATAATGGTGAAAAAAATTACCTTCTACAGGGGACACGTGAGCGGGTAAGTACAGTGTAGTAGTGTATTCACCTCCTGGTATGCGCAGTGTAGTTGCTGTATTCACCTCTAGGCGATATTCTGTCAATATAATTACATAACGTTTTTACCCAAATGTCATTAGGCAATCATCACCGACCTTCGAAAATGTAATTTCAAAGGTTAACATGATTTTAATCAACACAATTGCATTACAAAATCAAAATTATATAAAAAAAAATTTTAATTATACTATAAAATGTTTTATAAAATTGGAAAACAAATAGTACTCTGCGTGTCCTACAAGAATTTGCGTTTTGAACTGGCACTGTTGCTATTAATAATTGCAGACCTACGTAGGCATACGTTATTTCATTTTTCATTTTATTTATTTCCAAGAACCTCCCGAAAGAGAAGCAAGTTTGTACAAATTGAATAAAATACAACGTGAAGGCAAAATGTTTAAAAAGGCACTAAAAATAGGTTATGGTCTTGCGTAATGTAATTACACAGATTCCCACGTACAGTGGGCTTTGGCGCGTCTTTTGTGGCAAACGCAAAGACCGCAATGTGTATAGACAAATAAAATAATTTGGCTACCTTGCGAGCAAATTTCTTGATATTCATAGTTGGCATTCTAAAAAGAAAGAGAAAATGTTTAAAAAATCAACATAGGCCATTGGTACCACCTTTTATTAAATATTAAAATATTGTTGACACTGTCGAATGAACTGATTCTGATATTCTGTCAACACTAAATTCGCATGATAGTAAATTCTTAGCGAACGCACGTTTCAATGAAAAGTTAATACATTGTAGTGATAGCCTATATTTCATTATTACAGTAACATAATCACTTTATATTACAATTATTTTCAATTTTAACTAACTTATTCTAACTCCTATAGCGGGACGGGACATTTTGTCATTGCCCAAATGTCGGACCTAATCTGGGGGGAGAAGGTTTGCCACAGGGGCAGCAAATCGTTTAATTTTAATAATAATAACAACAAAAACAGCAATGAATAATAATAATGATAATAATAATAATAATGATAATAATAAATGGTAATAGTAATGATAATGATAAATTGTAATAAATACTAGTACTACTATATATAGGCCTATGTGTGTATACATATAAATATTATATTGAAGAGTGGGTTAGACATGTATGCTCCAAGTGAAATATAATGCAAAAGCAATTAAATGAAAAAACGGTGTACAATCATTGAAAGTTGACTTGCGGAACACAAATTTATTAATATTAGGCCTATATATTATTTATATATATATAATAATAATATATACATACATACATAGGCCTACACACACACACACACACACACACGTACAAAACACATACTCTCATACATCTTGCAGACAAAACACACCCACCAACATACCAGAACAACACACGTTTTTTTATTTCTTTACCATATATTTTTATGTACTATATATTTTCTATATCTATATTTTTATGAATGTTTTGTGAAAAGAATATAATTAGTTGGAGACAATTATTAAAAGTTTATTATACAGTCAAACCAAATAGTAAGTTTATGAAGTTCCTAATTGACTGTTCTGATAATATAGTTAAAATCATAGTGGGAATAAAAGAAATTGACGTTGTATGTTATAAAAGGATAAAATACTTGTAAAATTTAAAATATCATTTATGTAAATCACATATAGCACAGACCCAAAGATTGATCGTTGTGGTGTAGGCCTACTTGAGGTACACCACAAACGAAATTCGGAATGATTAGATTTAGAGTTATTGATGTCAGTAAATTGTTTACGACCACATATACAGTACGGTATAACTTATGAACAGATTCAGGGCTGTGCCTCTGATGCCGTAATGTTTTAGTTTATTTAAATAAAATACAGTGATTTACTGTACAGCTTCGAAAACCTTCGACAAGTCAATGAATACGCCAATTGCATATTCCACATTAACACTGTAGCATTACTTAAAGAGAAGCGTGTTATTGACAATAGAGGAAAGTGAGGATGAGTTGATTATTTAATTTTCGTGGGGTGTTATGAGTGCTTTTTTTACTCAAATCAATATTGAAATCTTCAATCAAAAAGCCGGTTTTATGTTCAGTATTAACATTACTTAAGCCTGAATCAAATACTTGGTTAAATAGATTTATATTAGAATGTGGTGGCCGATATACGGTACCATGATGATATTTTTTGTATTTTCGTTACCGATTTCTAAAAATAAGCTATCGGATTCATCATCATTGATATGCAGATCGTTTCTAATTTCTAGTGGACAATTCATGTAGGCCTACATACATACCTCGCCACCGATACGGTCAATACGTTCACTTTGGTGTAAAATGTATTCAGCAAGTGCAATCAGCGCGGTAGCGCAATTTAAACTGAGCCAAGATTCAGAAAAACAGAGTACATCAAAAGAAATCTTTATTTTATCAAAATTCTTAGGTAAACTACGAGAGTTCATGTGAAATATGCTAAAGGTATATTTGGCGTCTCCGTTAAGAGATTGCGAGTTTCCTAATTAGAGAGAGTAAACCATTCAGTGGTTTCATTTTCTGGTGGCATTGCATAAAATTACCATTGTCATTTAACTCATTAAAATGATCATAGGATTGTAAGAGAACATATAAATTTAGTGCGAGTGACAAACAACAAACAGAAGACAAAACAGACAATGCACTGTTAAAAATGTCTGGATCCAACAGATGTATTTGCATACACACAGTGATAGTTGATGTGTATATACAAACTCTGTAATCGGCAATTCTATTGAGTCGGAGTGACAGACATTTATCGATAAAAACAAATCACCTGTAAAGCTCAGTTTCCATAGAATCGCTCATCCTATCGGCGACAGTCGCCGAAATTTGTCGGGAATGCTGAGCCTGGTTCAACTTTGCCGATTGCGTAGTTGACGAATCGGTGTGCTTTCACGATTGCGTCAGGGCAGCAAGAAACAATGCACACTGATTCATCTGCAACGCAATCGGCCTTCTCGACCATTGTCGGCGCGACAGGGTGAGCGATTCTATGGATATTGAGCCGGTGACACCTATTCGTTTACAGAGCATTTTCGAGATATTCTGAGGGCATACTCCAGCTCTAGTCCTAAGGATAGTCAAATCCGAGATATAGACTGCAAATTAACACATAATAAAACTCATTCACACGAGACTACCTTTTCCTCATTAACAGATCATAAACATTTAACGTTTAAAAATAATGTTAAGCACATACCTGTTCAGCAAAGATTGCATTAATCTCATTATTATTATCGTTACTACGTAAGTGACATGGAAGGTTAGACACCGTTGGAAAGGTACCTGTTATAGATTGAAAATACGTTTATTACTAATGAACAAGATTGTACGACACTTGTAATAACAAAAGAAATGATAGTAATAGGAAGTATCATGTTAATTATTGGAGTGAGGCTTAAGAATTCCAAACTGTGGAACACATTATTACAGTAAACTACTGTAAAATTCCAAAATAAAAGACTAATATTATTACCAATATAGGGCCTATAGCTATTTAATATTAAAAATAGAATTATTAATAATATCACCATTATCGTTAAATACTTAATTACACTAACACGATCAGTGTTGCGTGTTTCATTAACATTTGACAATTAACAAATGTATACTAATTAACAAGTGTATAATGTAATATCTGTCTCTTATACACATCTAGATGTGTATAAGAGACAGGTGTGTATACATATAAATATATATTGAAGAGTGGGTTAGCATGTATGCTCCAAGTGAAATATAATGCAAAAGCAATTAAATGAAAAAACGGTGTACAATCATTGAAAGTTGACTTGCGGAACACAAATTAGGCCTATATATTATTTATATATATATAATAATATATACATACATACATATGCCTACACACACACACACACACACGTACAAAACACATACTCTCATACATCTTGCAGACAAAACACACCCACCAACATACCAGAACAACACACGTTTTTTATTTCTTTACCATAGATTTCTATGTACTATATATTTTCTATATCTATATTTTTATGAATGTTCTGTGAAAAGAATATAATTAGTTGGAGACAATTAATAAAAGTTTATTACAGTCAAACCAAATAGTAAGTTTATGAAGTTCCTAATTGACTGTTCTGATAATATAGTTAAAATCATAGTGGGAATAAAAGAAATTGACGTTGTATGTTATGAAAGGATAAAATACTTGTAAAATTTAAAATATCATTTATGTAAATCACATATAGCACAGACCCAAGGATTGATCCTTGAGGTGCACCACAACGAAATTCGGAATGATTAGATTTAGAGTTATTGATGACAGTAAATTGTTTACGACCACATATACAGTACCTGTAAAGCTCGGTTTCCATAGAATCGCTCATCCTCTCGGCGACAGTCGCCGAAGTTTGTCGGGAATGATGAGCCTGGTTCAACTTTGCCGATTGCGTAGTTGACGAATCGGGGTGCCTTCACGATTGCGTCAGGGCAAGCTAGAAACAATGCACACTGATTCATCTGCAACGCAATCGGCCTTCTCGAACATTGTCGGCGCGACAGGGTGAGCGATTCTTGGATATTGAGCCGGTGACACCTATTCGTTTACAGAGCATTTTCGAGATATTCTGAGGGCATACTCCAGCTCTAGTCCTAAGGATAGTCAAATCCTAGTTATAGACTGCAAATTAACACATAATAAAACTCATTCACACGAGACTACCTTTTCCTCATTAACAGATCATAAACATTTAACGTTTAAAAATAATTTTAAGCACATACCTGCTCAGCAAAGATTGCATTAATCTCATTATTATTATTGTTACTACGTAAGTGACATGGAAGGTTAGACACCGTTGGAAAGGTACCTGTTATAGATTGAAAATACGTTTATATGAAATTACTAATGAACAAGATTGTACGACACTTGTAATAACAAAAGTAATGATAGTAAGTATCATGTTAATTATTGGAGTGAGGCTTAAGAATTCCAAACTGTGGAACACATTATTACAGTAAACTACTGTAAAATTCCAAAATAAAAGACTAATATTATTACCAATATAGGGCCTATAGCTATTTAATATTAAAAATAGAATTATTAATAATATCACCATTATCGTTAAATACTTAATTACACTAACACGGTCAGTGTTGCGTGTTTCATTAACATTTGACAATTAACAAATGTATACTAATTAACAAGTGTATAATGTAATAATGTTGATCAATAAACGTCATTAACATTCCCTGAAACGATCGCGTTTCTTGAATATGCTAAATGTCGCCAGCATTTAATTGTATAATAATGAACACTTCAATACATGCAATGGAAAACTTAATGAAATCGATATAGGCCTTGGCCTATCACAGACAATTTTCAGACGCATTAGGTGTGAAATAACACTCTCGATCGAGATCTAAGGCAAAATTAAAGAGTAAAAGGATAGATTACGTCTCTACTCAAGCGCGAAAAGCACTACCATTCTCTAACATTTTAACAGACTATAGTGTGAGGGATTCAAATCGAATTGGTTAACAAATCTATGGAGTTCTGTAAAAATTATTATAGAGAGATCAGTGGTAAAAATTCTATAGGTAGGATTGGTTCTGATTTATTCGGTGTAAACACCAAGGATAGCCCACGAAAGTCTAAAGAAGACTTATTTCCAGTGGGGTCCTTCTACACCGGAACACAACCCCTACTCTTTTCCGAAGAATGTACTGCGTTCTTGTGCACATGGGCCATAAATGCACACGGGACCAACTGCTTAAACGTCTCATCCGAAAGACGGTGCGCTATTATTTAGTAACTTGTACTACAGCCATCCAGCTGAGCACAGGGAGAAGCCGCGATAGGTATTATGCACAATTAGCGATAATTATTCGCTATTGGAGAATGTTATTGTGTGGTAGGTTTTTATATGTTGGGCTGTCTTTTTCATGATGCCAACTATAGCCGATACTAAAAATCAGAGCCTTACATAAAGTAAGTATAGTAAAACATGCAAAGCATGTGTATGTCAATTTATGTATTCCTCATGCTTAGGATTCTAGAAAAAATATAAATAGTTAAGTGGTTGGCGCAGCATGGTATACGGTACATACAGTAGTATACACTCTCCCTCTTCTAGAATTTACGTTAAATGTTGTCATGAGTCTGAGAAATTATGGGATTTGACAGTTTCCCAAAGAATTCAAATTATTTGTAAAGGTTAAATACCATTACCATATTCTTTCACAACCATCAGGTAATACTGATTTTTGAAAACGTGGCTATCATCACCCTTTAAGTGGTTTTTGACACAGAGACGAGAAATAAAAATGAAACTCAAATTTGTTGGCATTTAAAAATGTGTAATTGAAACCCATTGTCAATTACAAGTCATGCACATATATACATATTAAAATCATAAAACGTTGAAAACAAAGACCAATAAACAACAGTTGAATCAGTTTAGATTAGATATACCAATCGTTCTAAAAGACCCACTTTTCATTAAATAAATCATCTTTTTCAGGTTTTTGGTCAACCGTATTTTAATTCGCTACAATGCCACGTTTGTTATGTCTAAGCGAAGGTTTGGAAAGATAAAATATTTTGCCAATTAAAAATGAATTGCAGAGCACCTGAGTATCAGTGTATTGTAGTGAATAAAAAAAAGAATATTCGAAAGATTTAATGTAAAGCCAGAGGTGTTAAAAATCCACTTTTTGAGATACGATCAAATGTCTTTAACCCGTTAGTAGTTGCCTACCTTCCTCGTTATTGGTTGAGTAACTCTCAGTAGTGGCCTTAGATAAAGATGTACCGCCTGTTCTTATTTCAAGTGTGGTCCAGTTGTATTTCTCATTAGTTGTATAACTCTGAGTAGTGATCCTAGATGAAGATGTTATTTTAAGTGTGCTCATATTGTGTCCATCATCAGTTGCATAATTTGTGGTCTGCCCAACAGTGGTTGTAGGCCTGTATTTTTGGGTAGTGAAGGTAGATCTATCGGCTGTTGTCACCTCTACTGTGGTCTGCTTTCTGGATGTCGATAGCATTAAATCAACACCTGTTTATAAAGTTAGTCAAAGTTTGCTTATGATATTGCGTATACTGTATATTGAATCCAATTTGAGTAAATTGATTTCATACTATACGGTATTATGACTATGTATATTATACAAAATTTTGGGAGTTGAGGATTTTGTTAGAAATAAGAAAATAGGGCCTATAGCCTATGTAGGCCTACATATGTTTTGTATATGTCGACATAATAGAGACATAACATTTATTCAACACGAATATTTCTGACACGCATGTGTCCTTCCTTAGCGTAAGTCGTATGAATGAGAAATACAAAATACAATCCGATGTAAAAAAAAAAAGAAGATGTATCGCCTGTTCTTATTATATGTATATGTATATATGTATATATACATAGTATATGTATATATATATATATATCCAGTTAACATGGATACGCACATGTATATGTAAGAGTCACTGATTCGTGATCATGTACACCACAATTTTCAATGAAGTCTGTATCTGATAGATGACACGCGTCCTCCCCGCTACAACTGGTTCGCGCTAAATCCGTTACGCACTGGCCGTGTTCACACCTATCAATTACATCTCCGCAATCATTGCGCTTATGGTGACACGCCTCTACGGTATGGATATCGATATACTGCTCCTTGGTGCACTCAATATCAATATTAGCAACTGGACAGGAAACTAATAACGAGAATCGTAAAATAGAAAGAACTCTATAAAGTGATCAAGCATAGATGCAAATGTATAATTTCTAAACATAGGCCTACTGAATAATAATTAAGCTTGAATAGGATTAATGTTAGAATTCAATGCAGTATATAAATTATAATAGTAAAAGCAAACCAACGATTACTTCCTTTAAAATGTTAAAAAACAATCCCAAAAAATTAGATTATAATTTTATCGGCCTTCAAGTCTAAAACGCCATGTGGCAAATAAGTGCCATGGCTTATTGATATATTGGCAATTAATACAATAGTAAATATATATATATAATTATATATATATATATAGGCATATATATATATGTAAATATATATATATATATAAACACACACACACACACACACACATTACATTCATACACATTACCATCTCTCCAATTTTATTTTTGTAATTCATTATTTTGCTTCTCAATGTAGGCTTTCATTAAAAAAAAAACTACATATAGGCCTACGTACACACAGAGGCCTATATGAATATTAGACTTGCAGAATTTTATTATAACTTACACTCCTCTGTTGTATTAGGCCTAGTAGTAGTAAACGATGATACTCTCAAGATAACCTGTAAAAAAAATAAAATAAGATTAATAAAATGATAATAAATAAAAGTTATATAGGCATATACTGTATTGTAATATATTCTGTTTTTATGGGTATGTTTTTTGTGAAGCTGGGTGGTCGAGTACTTCATACTTAATGTAACAGTGATTAGGTTCACTTTTGAAGTCCTGCCCGAACACCCAGTGGATTGTTTTGTGAATGCTTGTTTTGGCAATAAAAGAATAAGAATAAGAATAAGAAAAGCCACATTTCTAGTAGTGTAAAAATAATATGTAACACAACAAAAACACAATATAATAATAATAATAATAATAATAATAATAATAATAACAATAACAACAACAATAATAATAAAAATAATAACAACAACAACAACAACAACAACAACAATAATAATAATAATAATAATAATAATAATAATAATAATAATAATTTAAAACATTACAAACACATTATGCTTATATAAATTATATACTTCATTTTCATTCGTATATAAAAAAAATTCGGTTACTGTCTTAGCACTTGAGTCCACTAAAATTTAAAACAATTCGAACCACTTCTTTCCGGTTTTCTTGGGCAACGACTCTCAAAAAATTGTTTGTTAGAAACTATTGATACCAGGGTAAAAGAAAATTAATATATCGAGAAATTATTCCTTCAATAATATATAAAGGAAATATATTATTTTTATGAGGATGGCGTGTTAGTGCTTTTATATCTTCATGAAAACTGATCAAGCTGTTATTGATTGTGTTGCATTGTTTCTTAAATTCATTAGCTGTTGAATCTTTCTTTTGGCAATATAATTATATAAATTTTCTATATAGTTATATAATCTCAGTTAGTAGTGTGTGCCTATAGGGGCCTACAGTACATAGGCCTATATAATACATATGATATTATGTCTTATCACAACACATATCACATCATAATATACCATACTATAATTATCATATCGAATTAAAATATAACAGTCCGACAAATCTACGTCTAAATTAATTTTTCAGAAGTACTGCTGTGGTTTGGAATACCCTACTAGAAAAGTTGTGACTGCCATTATAAATCTGCTCCGGGGCGGGGTGCCACTGGACCAACCAGCCACTCAAACATACACAAGTCATAAGAAATTTGCCCATACAACACTGAGGAAACGCTAAGTTTCAAATCCAAGAAGGTTTTCCTGGAGTCTAGTAAGTAAATTACGTTCATGTACTGACCCTAAACGAACAAAACTAACATTACTATTGTAAAATAGTCCTA